AGAAGGAACTAGAAACCCAATCATAAACAGGAAATAAGGGATAAACCCCTACTCCTGTTCAATAAACAGGGAAGTGTTGGTGTGTAAGCAAGAATATTCTGCCTGATATTTCAGTATTTTTTATATTTGGAATATTACAAATGCTATTTTCTAAACTAATCTCCAAACATATAACCATTTCAAACTTCATACTCTAGTAACAATGCCAACTCATGAGGTAATATCATCTTCATGCTAAACACAATGTTATGGCAAGGATAGCTCAGTCAAGTTACATAATCTTTTACATATCAGAACTTTAATAAATGTATATAATATTTTAAAATTAAAAAGACTGTCATCTTAGTCATATTAAGGTAATAGAAGCTGAATGAGTGAATGTGTTTGCATATGTGTTGTATGTAGGTTTCTTAATAAGTCCATAGTCTGTTGTGTAAAAAGCATTTATTTTTATACAAATATTAATTTTCCAACAATCTCCTTCCTTGCCAATACACTTAACCTATCAGTTTTCCAGAAATCACATACAATGCACATTAGTAAGAGAAAATTTCAGATTAAAATTCAGCTGATAATTATATCAATCTAATGCTATTGATACTGCCATGGCTATATCACATTGAAATGAGCCTACAGACATATCACATTGAAATACTAGTTTTTGCCCAGTCACTGAAGTTAAGCAATGTTGAGCTTGGTCAGTATTTAGATGAGTGACCTCTTGGAATATCAGGTGCTTTAAACTTGAGGTTGTGCAGATGGTGCAATAGATAGTAGCTTGGAATGAGAAATGAGACCTATGTTTCAACTCCAGTCAAGTTCATTGCATTTACTTATATGCAAATAACCTTGGGAAAGGTATTAATTCACCTCTTTCCCCCAGCCATAGGTTAAATAGTAGTATAGAGTGGACTCCCTCAGACATGGCTGGTAACCAGTCTAGAAGAAGAACAATTCTGAATTCAAAACCACTTGAGCATGGGGAAAGCAACTCCATCCCATGAATAACATACTTACTATGAAAAGTCTGACCTTGCATCCCAAACATGGGGCCTGATAAAGTTATGGATGGAAACATGTGGTCATCAAAGGGGATCTGGTGAAGTTTTGACAGCCCTTCAAGCTGACAATGGAAACAATCTCACTGTGAAGATATGCTTCTGAATTGACAAGTTGAAAGATCTATCTAGGTGAGAAGATTAAAGTTGACAGCATTTACTAGTTCATTTTTACCTTTATCAGTACAGAGCTACATGAAGCCATTGACATTTATGGTATTTAATATAGCAGTTATGGAATAGAGCTTTAGAAAACCTGAACAAGCAAGGAATAATACTTTATTGTTCAAAGTTTACAAGCTAAATAACAACAAATTTACTCAAATAAATTTCAGCTTTTTGTCTTTGTAAATTATATTTTCTATCAATGCTCGGAACATTAGTTTATATTTCTGATAAGATTTTTTTACAAGTATTTTCATTTAAAATGGCATGTCTGTATGTTTTTTTTCTTTTTTTAATTCTAAATATGTTTGTTGACTGAATTGCAGAAATTGAAAGTGAATGTATCATCATAAGAGTAGTCCCTGTTCCAAAAAAAGGTGATCTAACAAGTGCAGCAAACTATAGGAGTATAACTCTCATGCCAATTGTGGCAAAAGTTTACAATAAGCTTCTACTAAATAGGATTGTCTCCACCATTGATCCACTTCTCCACAAGAACCAGAATGGATTTAGAAGAGGCAAGTTGGCAATTGCTCAAATCCTCCCCATTCACCGCATACTGGAAAAGATGAAAAAATTCAGCAAAGAGGTCACAATCTGTTTTGTTGACTTTTGCAAGGTGTTTGATTCTATCAACAGAGACCTCATGTTCAAAATCCTACAATTCTGTGGTATATGGTCCAACTTCAGAATTTTTAGGCAATTAGAACTATGGACACAAACACTACTGTCACCATTGTATTGCCTGATGGTGAGACAATTCCTTTGAAGTTAAAGCAGAAGTTCTACAACTTGCTCTTTATCTGTTTATAGTTATTCTGGACTATGTTCTGCATAGTTCTCTTGACAACATTGAGGAAAAAGACTACTTTTGAAACCTTGCCAGAGTAGTCAGTATTCTCCACAATACCTGATGCAAAATCCTTGCTGTTAATTTAAGTATGATACTAGAACGACAGTTGGGTCTTGCTTTTTTTTTTAACTAGTTATATGCAAATGTCATTTCTGTTCTAATAGTTTCTTTTCTCATACTTCTTGCCTGTGGAAGTCCCTTCCAATTTTTGCTTCCCTGCCACTTATCATCTTCAAAATTTTAAATGCAACACCAATCACCATCTTCTGTCCTCCTAAATCCTGTTCTTTTATTGTCCTGTTTGTCACTTCTCACTAAAGTCTTCTCATGTTTTCACTCTATATAAACTCCTACATCCTAGTGGCATTGTCACCTTACTCGAGATGAAATAATTAAAAAAAAAACAAACTAGTAATGGTTTACTAAACTAGCTCACTCACCTAGTCTATATTCCTAAGAGAGAGAATGAGAGAGAAGAGAAGAAAAGAGGGAGGGTTTAAATGAAGAGAGTGGAAAATGGAGATAAAAAAAGAAGTTAAATGTCTTTCTTCACAAAATGTAATTTAGGTTTCATTTTTTTTTTAACCCTTTTCTCCAAATGTATATGATAATTCATACTTTAAATTTTGCCAATAAAACTATTTTATTTGTCAAAAATCAATTATGGCAAAATGCCAATGCAAGCACAAAACACATTCACTGCATCTATTTCATCTACATTCAATTTTTTTAAAACATATGCAATTTTTAAAGTCATTCAGAACAGACATGTTCACTTCAAAATATATTTCATGTTTCTTTCAGCCTAAGTATTTGCTGCTGCTTATAAAAGTTCTTTGATCTCAGACTTTCACATAGAATTTCATACAATTTGATTATTCCGGTAAATATTCTTCAAAACAATATTTTTTTATCCTCTCAGAATATCTTCTTTTTTTAAAAAATCATTTCTTCTATTATTTCTTTTGAGTAAAAATGACTCCATCCCCTATAAAATATATATAATTATTGGAATAATATCTGTTTTCTGAAATTCACTTATCTTTTTGAAAATGAATAATAAATGCAAAGCACCTTTGCAGGTTTTTATTTTCATCCATCCAGTTTTCAATTTTAATCAGCAATTTTTTTTCAGAGCAATATGCTATGTAGAAATTCTGCTATTTGCTTGTTTATTTGCACTTGGCTTGGTCTACTTAGGAGATGTAGATATTTAACTCCTGTGCAACAAAGCTTTTTGCTTTATATAGTTCAAGGTCATCTTAAACAAGGCATAATATCTATAAACCTGCTGAGTCATTCTAGAAGAATACAAAAATGATTTTAAAAATCAAAAAGCTCCTAAATTCCCCTCCTCCTCACTCTTTCTCTCCCTCAGTATGTATGTATGATTATATATATATATATATATATATATATATATATATATATATATATATATATATATATGGTGTATCAAAAATACTTTTAAAAACTTTATAGGCGGGTCCCTTACACCAAAACAAGGACAAAAGTCCATGTAAACATATGTCTGCGAATCTGTCATTTTTGAGTTTATGGTAGATGCCATTAAATGTACAATCTTAATGGTAAAATGTCCATATAAACATATGTCCAAAAGGCCATTATTGTACCTCAACGCGCTAACTTATAACAAATGTTCGAAATGTCTTCCACTTGCTTCTGTACACATGCATCCATCTGATCATTGACTGGCAGACCCTTTCAAATACTCTCACACAGTGTTGAATAGTTTCACAAACCTCATGACATGTTGATGAAGCATCTTTGCATTATTAATGTATGTTGCATAAACCAATTGTTTTAGGTGGCCCCACAAATAAAAATCCAAAGGAACATGCAGGTCATGAAACCAGTCATTCCCTACCAATCCATCTTTCATGGCTGATGTCAGCCATTGCATTGTGAACAATGTGATTAAAATGTGCTGGAGCCCTATCATGCTTGAACCACATGCATCTTTGTATTAGCAGAGTAACATCTAGCTGGTCTGGAAGTGTGTTTGAAATAAAATCCCTGTAGAGAGCTCTTATAAGATATACTGAGAAAACATATGGATCAACCAGACTATTATCCTCATCTTTGTAGTTGTTAACTGAGCTCTTTATGTAATCTATAAGGTAGACTGTTCTCATTCTATTGCCCATGTCTAGTGATATCTTGTCTAGTTCATACTTCATGCTGGTGTATAGAAAAACAAGAGAGGAAATTTGGCACATTATGATTTAGATGCGAGCTACTGACATCATAGTTTCCAATCACAATTCCAATCATAAAACAAGGAAGTTAATCATATTTTTATGCCTGAACTAAACATTTTGGTGATTGATTTGCTTTTTATGGCCTATCAACCTTTTGCAGGTTATTTAAAGCCAAAACATATTTTTAGATTGTAAGAATTTTTTGGAGATAATGTTTTCCATTCATCCAGGTCAACCATAATCAGGATCACCGAGCCAATGAAAACAATCCTTTCTTTAGCTGTATAGTATGTGCAATGCCAGGGCTACATACAGTTTTGAATTCAGAGTTACTTTCTCCTAGAACTGTTGTCACTTAAGGCTATAGAACCCAGCCTACCCATAGATGGCAGGCAGGGGAAAAGAGGATTCATACCTTTCCCAAGAGTATTAGCACATAAGTGAATGTAATGGAATTTGAACTTGACTCACTGATTCCTCAATCGAAGCCATTATCCATTACTCCACCATGCCTCCTCTGATAATGATTTACTGATACAAGTCCTACTAATTAGCCCATAGTTGGGGCAGAAGATGTCGATTCATACCTTTTCCAAGGGTATTTGCATGTAAGTGAATATAACAAAACTGCCTAGAATTGGAACTCAGTTCTCTAATTTCCAATTCTCATCTATTATCCACTACACCATACACACATCTAAGCTTACAATATCTGGTATTCCTAAATGGTCAACTATCTAGGTACTGACCAGGCTCTATGTTGCTTAACTTCAGTGATCTTATGTGAACTAATGTTTCAACTTGATATGGCCATAAGCCCATCTTGTTGAATGGGGAACAACACTGCTGAGTGCCTGAAGTTTCTGGAATTCAGCATTAAAGATCAAACTGGACATTTTGTGTACAAAACAATGATAGACTGAAAGAGTTCTAAGTGTTACCTCATTGAACCAAAGTTGGAATTAGTCTTTCTACTTCTAGTGCTGTCATTAAATAAAAAACTTTTTGTTTCATTAAACTCCACTTCAAATCAGTGATGTTGAAGAAATTTGGGTGTCACTCTCCATTCTCTTAGTGGTCAATGTGATTAAGCTGTAGATGGCCATCTTTAACATCGCAAATTCACCCTTGAGAGATGCGATATCTGAAGAATCAAGTGTAAGTTATGGTGACTTCTTTTTTTGTTAACTGAGGAATCCCATTACTTGTTTTATCGATACTGTCCAACAAATTATGAGGGAAGTTTTTATGATTCTCCATTTGCATGGACATATCTGCATTTATTTGGAATTTTCCTTTGCTTGCTTTTCTCAAAGGTTATCATCATACCACATTTTATTGACTGGTTACTTTTCAAAAAAGTAACCAGTCAGTAAAGTGTTATAAAATATTTGTTGTCCTGTAATTTTGTAATTTGTTGTGATCATTGATGTTATTTGTCATGCGTGATAAACACTTAGGCAATTATGTATCTTTCGATACATGACTGACAAGGCAGATTTTTTACCTGCAGTAGGTTGCCATTTCTTTCTGTGGTAGACCAGTTGCCATCCAAGGTTATAGAACCCAGTTTGTCCTGCTATTTACCCATAGCTGGAGGGGAGAAGAAGAGGATTCATACCTTTCCCAAGGGTATTAGCATGTAAGTCAATGTAATGAATTTGACTGGAATTTGAACTCAGCTCTCTGGTTCCTCAATCCAAGCTGTATACTAAATATACATTTTAAGCAAAGTAATTTACACAAGGGAAGTGATGGTAGCATAAATGTTATCAGTACATAAATTAAAATCTGCAAACTGAGTTCAAATCCCTTTCTAGACTGTTGCATTCTCTTTCAAATAAATACCTTGGGAAAGGCATGGTTTTATCATTTCTCCTCCTTCCAGCTATGGGTTAAATAGCAGGGTAGCTTTGGGTGGCATCCAGTCTAGAAAGACTATTCTGAATTCAAAACTGTGGAGACAGGAACAGGAAACAACTGCCCCTGTCTTTCCCCAAAAGTCATGGCATTTCACAGATAATAAAGAAAAGAAATCTGTGGAGAGCTATGATCACCTGAGGGACATGGCATTAAAAAAGTTTAGACAGAGATGGGGCTAGATTACAGGAGTTTGAAGCATTTAAAAGAAATTATGAGTAGATACAAGAGTGGATCATTAAGTTCATAGTCTGACATTTAGTTATAAGTTTTAATCTGAAATTTTCATTGTATAATAGTTTAAGTTACTTATGCAATACAATAAAATGTATAATCCATCACATAGATCTTTACACAACCCTTTTTTAATGAGTTATTTTGCATGAAGTACTTTGGTCGAAACCTAATAGAGATCTTACTAAAGTATCTCTATTAGAGCACCAGTGCCATGTACAGTTTTAAATTTAGAGTTGTCCTTTTAGACTGATTGTCTATCATGATATTTAACCCAGAGCTGGGAGAGAGAAGTGATGGATTCATACCTTTTCCAAAGGTATTTGTGTGTAAGTGAATGTAACCAATTGGAATTTGAACTTGACTCTTGATTTCTCATTTTGAGTTGTATTCATTACACTACCGGCATAATTATATTATGTTTTATGTTAATTCATCACTGAATTAATAACATTGATAAAGAATGCAATTATGAACAATAAAACTTTGGTAAAATAAACACTTTTTTTTCATCATTAAGCTTAAGATTTATTGATGCATTAAATGTCATCACTTTTTTGGTTTTCCCATTTTTTCTTTTCATTTTTATGAAAAAAAAAACAAAAAAAAAACAGTTTTCAAATGAAATACAAAAAAATAGGAAAAGGTTTCCTTGTGAGATTCAAATTTATCTCCATCTGGATGGCCAGAAAATAAGTAATGGAAAAAAACATCCTTTGTGAGGTTAGGAAAGAAGTCTTAAGTTCAACTTGTTGGGAGCAAAAAGACATGGAGAAAACATTTATTAAAATGCTAGCCTAGAATCCAACCTTTGGGCAAGCTTCTGTGGAGAGCTTTTGGCCTTTTACCTTCAGCAGGCTATGTACATAAGATAAGAATTTAGGAATAATAAAATTATTTTATCTTTATTCAACACCTTAATTCGGCCTTTTACCTTCAGTGTTCTATGTACATAAAAGTTATAAGAATTTAGAAATAAGATTATTTTATCTTTATTTGACACCTTAATTCAGCATAATCTTTCTTCATGTATGCAACCAATCTCCGTAGTCTGTCTGCATTTATTTTGCATGCAAGTTTTATCTTCTTTTAAAATCACCATTCTTTATGATCCTTTCGCATAAAGTCATTCTTAAAAGACATTAAGGAACCTGAACTATGTAATAATTTGAATATGTTAAAGTATGCATTCTAGAAAAAGAAAAAAAAACATATGAGCAAAGTACCGTGCCCCCCAATTAAGTTTTAATTATGGATTAATTAGATGACATCAATTGCAATTGTGATGAAAAGTGAAATTAAAGTTAAACCTTTAATAAAGAATTGTTTTTTAAACCTTTCACTCTGTTCAATATTTAAATTTAACTTTAAATGAGTTATTTATTCAGTTTTTAATTGCGAGTAACTAAAGTAGTTACTACCTGTTACTTGAAGTTGATTATCATTCACTGAGATTGAAAAACTCACAGATTGGTACACATAGACTGTGATTTATTTATCATAGATTACTTATAAACATTTGCATTTATTACATATTTCATTACTATGAATTAGATATGACTCAAGATAAATAAATTAAAATAGTACTTACTTTATTAGAATATTACCTATTTCAAATGAAAATACATATTTTCTCTTTTACTTTTTCCTTTCCACAAACAAAATAATATAATAACATTTTCTCCCCCTATAATGACAGATTTGTACCTTAAAAAAAATCATATCTTGAAACTTTTCCCTTGAATTTTTCTCATAAAATGTTTTCTCCTTCTGTTTTCATAATCCTTTACATTAGCACCAAGAATACATTTATTTAAATTTACTAAAAGAAAAATATATGAATATTCCATTATGTCTGCAATAACTACTTGAAATGAGAGATATTTTACAATGATCCTTCATTAATTCATATTTTGCATGAGAGCAATTTTATATCATAGAATCTCAACGGATATATTCATAAACATTATAGAATACCACAAAGAAGTCAATTTTTATTTACATTAAAATATGTTTGTTCTTTACATTTATTAACAAATGCTGTGACAGATTTTTGATGCTGGTGCATGGACAGGAATGTAGTTCTGAAAGCTTGCATAAGTGTTCTCTGTCAGCCATCATGGAATGCCAATGATGATGTGTTTTAAAATAGCTGTTGAGGGAGCAGGGAGAAATAGTGTCAAGCTTTTTTCAAGGGTGTCAGTACAAAGTGAAAATAAAGAGGAAATTGTAGAGAGCCATGATCACCCTGAAGAGATATAACCCATAGAAATATAAAATAATCTGTGAAGGAAATGTATAATATCTCAAAAAAGCACCATTTCAAAATTTATAATTACAGTTGCTTATCGGGGCTGGTGTGCACTACCCAGAACCCCCACTGGCAAGGATGGGTGACAAGCCTGATTGGGGGGGGGTCCCTGGCTATGTTTTCTATCCTATGAACATTTGCTTTTTTCTACATCCATTTATATATGTCATGAAAGCACAACTGACTATTAAAGGATGAAAAATTTTCTTGGATTATGATGTCATTCTAGGTTTTTTATTTTTATTTTTTGGTCCAAATCTATAAATTTGATTTGCTTATGCTAAGTCTTGAAAAAACACAATATAAAATTCATTACACTGGGGAACACATATTTTATAATTTTTATTGAATGATATCTGATGTTTGATTCTAGGAAATTTTGGGGTGCTGCATACAAATTTCAACTCTGGTTCTATCACATCCTGATTCTTGTCAACAGCCTATGTGCCATTTTCCAGATTTTACAAATTAGGACTAAAAAATTAAGTCATGTGTTAAAATCTTTTTTCAAGTTTCATGAATATAAGCAGTTCAAACTACAGTAAAATTGCTAATTAATGATAAAAATGACTTAAAATAAAAACAGATATGAAGCTTTCATTGTGACATAAAAATTATTTTACAAGACTTTCTAGTGTATTTGCTTGTTGTTGATGACAAGTCACTTTTCAAGCACCAGCAGGAATCAGCCATCATGTAGGAATACCAGTGGCCTGGGTATTGTTCCTCCATAATTTTGATATCTTGATGGAATCTCTCCCCTGTTTGTCACTTACATCACCTAAATTACTTGGAAATTGATGAAGATGGCTATTCAAAAATTTACAATTTTATACTCATAGTGCAACCTAATTCTTTAGGGTCTCTTAGAAATTTTTTTATGATTTCTTTATAGTTATGTGCTCTATAATTGCCTAAAAAGTTTTAGTGTCAAGTACACAAATGAGAAGCAGGCATTTTTTCAATGTTTATTTATGGCATTAGGAAAATTGCTGTCTTTAATTAATGTTCTTATTTGTGAACTGTGAAAAATTCCTTCCTTAACTTTTTTCATAACATAAATTTGGAAATTTTAAACTTATGTATTTGAAAACACTCACTGTTCATATCTGAAACTTATGTGGCATATGTTTTTTTTTTTTGTTTTTTTTTTTAAGCATTTCACCCCAAGGGCGGAAGCCACTAGGACCAAAGGGTTATAGAAAATAGCAAGATCAGATAGGAGTGATAGAAATAAAACAATGAGGGTAGTAGATAGATTAAGAACTGGAGATGTTATTGACATTACATTGAATAGCTGAGATTATAGCTCACAGGGAAACAGGAGAAGGGAAGAGAGTTCCACAGGCGA